TACATATTAACAAGAAACATATATATACTAGGTAATAATACGAGACCTGACCAACATAATTTTCCGTTTAGTAACCTTTATAAAATAAAAATTCTAAAATTGCATTCTCCATTTGGCCTTGAATAAAAGCCAAAGGTAACGACTACATTAATATCCGAATATTCCGTTTGAAATTCAATGGTTAACAAGATGACTTTTAAATATTAAGCCAACGAGACTTTCATTTAAGGGTTATCAATCTCTCTATATATACATCTTGTTGTTTCCTTATCTGAGGAGTTGAAAAAAAACAAAATAACAATTAAGAAGAATTAACAGAAATAAGTAAATCCAATGAGTCCTGTGGCGATTCTGTTCATAGTGTTTGGAGCATTTCTCTTGTTTTTGTTTATCCTATGGCTCATTCACTTTCTCTACCACAAAGCTAAGAAGGATGGCAAGGAAAGCATCGCCTGTCTCGGCAGCGGTTACGGTGGCGATTTTGGCCAAAATATGATAATATGCACAAAATAGCCAAATTTTTGAGGATAATTAAGAAAATAGCCATAAGCTACAGTAACTTGTCTGTATGATGTCGGAAAGCTAGCTAGTACTTCCACCAAGGAAATTTGATTGAAAGTCTCTTATTATGAGTTAACCGCTTACTTCAGAATATCCTTTTTCTAATGAGTTCAATATATCAAAAATGAATAATGGAATATATGAACAGTGTTTTCTCGACTTCTTGACTTGTATGGATACCATTGTTTAACAATTGGTTTATAACAGATATATTGTAAGATTTGATGCATGGCCGTATAAAATCACATAATTTAGTTTGATATCTTATTTTTCAATAGATAACCGATAACTTATATATATATATATAGAGCCGGCGCGAACATTTGAAAGGCCACAAGCGGGGAAAAAAATTTTGGGCTGGTTTTTTGACAGAAAAAATTAATAATGCATTTTGGCAGTTTCAAGGGTTCGAACCCAGAAAAGATGAGAGAGCATCCTTGTACCTATACCACTAGACTAAAGCCGATTTTGGAAATTGGGGGCCAAAACTTTTATATAAAATAATCGGCCGCAAGTATGGGTTTCATTAGCCTGTCCCAAGGGCCGGCTCTATATATATATATATATAGTGAAAATATTGTATAAATAATATATTTGTAATACCAATTCCATTCATGTGAAGTTTGTATACCACAAATTAGAAAATTATTTATTTTAGTTTACTTTTATGTTTTTATAATCGATATATAGTCAAACCATTAGAATATTCTAAAAGTTGTATATTTTTAAACAAGAGATTTACAACCCAAAGACCGAGAAAAGCAGAATGGTTAAATCACAATTCTCAACTATAGCTTAATTGACACATTTGATCAAATCTAAATTCCCTTACTAATTATACTAATTAAAAATAAAAGTCACCGAAACAACTTGCAAATACAAAGTCTCAAAAATGGCTCACCTCCAAACAAAAAAAACTTATTGTATATAATAAGAACACATATCTATAAAGAGCTAGAGAAATCAAAATCATAATCTAGATATCAAGTAAAACAAAACCAATGACTCCTTTGAAGATTGTGGACATAGTGATTGGGGTAATATTCTTGATAATATTCATCTTATGTCTCTTCTACTTTCGTTACCGAAAGAATCAGAACGACAGCCGGAAAGAGAGCACTACCGGTGGCTGCTGCTGAAGCGTCGAGGCGGCTACCCCCGCACGACTTGTCACTTTAACCGTTTCTTTAAAAGTTTTTTTTGTGATTTATATGTATTTGTTTTGAAATATGAAAGATGTTATAATTTGGGTTTGTGTGTGTTCAAGTTGTAGATACGAAACAAACATATATATCCATGAAACAATTTTTTTTATTATTGTTTAATTTATTTTATTAAGAGGAGAGAAAACTCTCACATTATATATATAGATTTAAAATCCTCAATTTTAAACTTGAGGAAAAATCACGTTTCAAGATGTAACAGACAATAACTAAAATAAGTTTTCCTAAAACATCAAATTGTTAAAATGCAGAGATAAGTTTAAAGAATGCAAAAATTTTTTGTTTTTAAATGGCGTGTAAAATAGAGATTGTCGAACTTCTTACATGTTCAAAGTTATATGCATATAGAATTTGGAATCAAAGAACTACAAACTCTTTGGTTTTTCAAATGCACCAATATAGTTGATTTCTTTTAAGAAAAATTCCAAGTTATAATTACATTTATACTCCTGTATTATCTAAATTGTTATACAAGTGCTACATTTAGCGATATTTAAAATAAAGTATTCTAGAAAATGATTTTAAAATACTAAAAATTTTAAACCCGCGCATAGCGCGGGTACTCAGCTAGTTAATAATAATGAACGGTGATAGACATAGACTAGAGTTATTGTCGGAGAGGCTTGGTCCAATGTCGGAGAAGATAAAGAAGGTGGAGTAATAAGAGAAGTTGGGAAAAGAGATAAGAGACGGTAACAAATATTGTTGAAGGTGGTGAGTCGGAATTAGTGAGATTCGGTAGTGTTGGTGGTGGTGATTGTGATAGTAGTGAGATTTAGTTGTGGTGGTGGGTCAGAGTAGTGAGACTCGGTGGTGATGCCCGACAAATGCGAGAAATGTAGATAGGGAAAAAATAAATAAAGATTTGATGGTGAAGAAATCCGACGAGAGGGAGAGAAGAAGAAAAATACAGGAGTTCGAACAAAAATAAGAGAAATCTAATGAGAGAAACATAGAGATTTGAAAATTAGAAAGAAGAGAAAACAAAGAAATTAATAATATGAGACAAAAAAGACAAAAGCCATGTGGTAAATAGATAATATTTAGTCTGACGTTATTTTTTTAATTCATTTAGTCTTAAGTTATTTAATGTATATCATCTAATTCCTTATAAGTTTTTCTCTTTCTGTTGAGTATATTTCATATTATCAAGTAAAGTTACATGACATGGATATAAACGGTCTCATATTTTCTCTTTTTTTTATTGTCACAATTTTATTATGACGTCAAACCTTTCTAAACAAAATCATATATTTACGTATCTCATATTATATGTTTACATATTATACATATATCGTTCATATATTTACGTAACTATATAGTTTTATCTTTTCTTATTGTCATAGTTTTGTTTCCATCTTGTCCACATTGAAATTATAAGATGTAACACACTCTTCCGATGGATGTAAATAACTTATTAAAATTCAATAATACAACATATGAATATTTATAACTTCATAACTTATAATAAGCAAAAAATTATATAATTTATAAATAGGCCAACATTTATATTAGATGATTTAATAATTAGTATAACATAAGTACAAATAGTGTTTTATATTACGCATTATGCTAATAAATCTATATTTAGAAATAATTATGCTGCATTTTCTAAAATATATGTGTTTATAGAATTTTAATTAAGCTTACAAAAATAGAATAAAAATATTAAGAATGATAATCTCTACCAGCAACCCGTACAACGCACGGATCCATATCTAGTCTTATATAAAACAATTTTTTAAAAGTAAAGAAGATAATTATAAGAAAACTATATATATCTTATTAAGTAAAAATAGAAATTAAAAAAATCATTTACTAATTCTAATTTAAAGCTACTAATTCTAAAAGAAAATGATTACTTTTTCCTTAAAAATTAAAAAGGATTTAAGAAATTATACAATCTTATTATATAATATAATAATTAAAACAAAAAAAATTATTTATTTATAAAAATAATTATTAAGGAAATGATACGTATATATCTCATATAAAATAATTCTAAAATCTAAAGAAGATAATTATAAGAAAACTAGATGTATCTTATTAAATAGAAATAGAAATTTAAGAAAAAAATATAAGGAAATTATACATATATCTTATATGAAAACAATTTTTAAAAATAAAGAAGATAATTATAAGAAAACTATATGTATCTTATTAAGTAAAAATAGAAATTAAAATATTAGACATTGTAAATAAGATGACGGTTTGACTGGTGGTGTATATATAAAATATCTTCTGAAGAAATTGTGGAATCATATTTTAGGCGAACTGCAAAACCATGTGTTTTGAGATCTGAAAATAATAATTTTTTTTGTTTTTTTTTGTCAAAAATTTGGCAATAGTAATAATGATGAATAGTTGAATACCTTGGCAAAATTTTTGGTGATTGGTAATTTAAATTTATTTTATTATTATAATAAATGTACCAACAAATTTAAAATATAGATATGGATATAAGTGTATTAAGGCAAAAGATGAATATATACACAAATCTTCTGTCTAATTAAAAATTTAGCTTCTTATTTTATAAATATATTTTCTAATCTAGTATATATATATATATATATATAGAATACATGACTGGTTGATCCAAAAGTAGATCCGATTCACAGATCCAATTCATGTTTTCCTCAAAACTCTACTTAATTTGACAACGAACGAAAGGGTAAATTTTCTGACCAAATTAAATCAGAAGAATTTTCATCAACCTTTTACCTAAAAGCTTAAGAAAGCATTCAGCATTTTATTTAATAAATGCACTTGTTAATGGGTTTCATTTTTGGTTTTGCTTTAGGCAGCCAAACATAACGGGCCGGCCTTGAGCGTCGGATAACCACAACCATCTTCGTCTTCTGTAAAAGCATAATTCAATAAATCTTCCTAAAGCTAATAACCAAGGGTATGGCGATGAATGAGAAGTAGTTGGTTATGATAAAAGCATATACTAGATATTCATATATATATATATATATATATATGTATTGATCTTTTTCGTTTGTTGTATGTATTTGACATTGAATTTGACTTTGAGAATTTTTATTACCATTTTATTTTCCTGCACATCATGTTTCTGAATTTCAAACGAGATTAAAAATGGTTAATTTTTTTCCTTTTCACATTCTTGTTCTTGTACCATTCTTTTTCACATTTTTATCCTTACCTTTTGGCATATTTCTTTTTGTCTTTCATTAGATCAAAGCGATAAGAAACTGATATGGTGAAACTGTAAAATTTACATTTCACCAATAACGATTTACATTATAGAAAGAAGAAAAAAAAAAGGAAAACAAAATCTAAATAATTAGGTAATAGGATGAATGCTGGGAGAATTTTCACCACGGCGACAATTTCGACAACGTCGACAAATTCCTACAATAGAAAAGACAAAGAAAACGAAAAGCATCATCACAGGAACCATCCATGCCTTGAACCATGGAGGATCTTTTGGGAAGATCAATGCAGCTTCTTCATCTTCTTTAAGTTGGTGTCGTGTCAAAGATTTGATGTGTATTATATTGATTTTCATAAACAACCACCAAATTTTTCTTCTCATCTCCTGAGTTTCCTTCTCTTAGGAGATGAGAAGAATGACAAGACAGTGAAAACTTGTTATTCCCACAACATTTGTTTAATGATATCTTGTGTTTTGTTTAAAGGTTTATTTTTAGTGTTTTTGCTATATTTTCTCTAGATTTTTGGAACATTTGCTATTTTTGGATGGTTTGGATAATTTGATCATGATGTGAAATACGAAATAGAATAGCCAAGCAATAGGCTCTTGTAATGTCTTCATCTTTCTAGATCTTTTCCGTCATAAACTCATGCATTTAAAGTTTTACGTAACTCTTAAAAAAAGGCAAGTAAATGTGTCGGCATGCCTAAAATTTCATTGGTAAGCAAAGTTAGTAGAGTTAGGGAGAGAGACATTCTAGACTTTTGTTTACTTTATGGTAATATCATTACCGAGTTCTTTAATGACAACATAAAAAAAATAACCATCTACAACATACAGTATATAAGAGGTACTCGAGGTTTTGAGAGACAATCAGTTCAAAGTAAACAAAAATGTGTTAGTTTGAACAAAAACTCTCAGTCGCAGTCGCAGTCGTAGGCCTCCTGCGACTGCCAAACGAACAGCACCGTGAAAGACCCGTCGAAAATGTCAAGATCAATCGAAAGATGATGATACCGAAAATTTAACCCTAATACAAATGCTAATTATTATGGTTTCACTTATAAAATACACATGGATAATAACCAATATTACCAATCTTTTATTTCACAAAGAGATACCAACGAAACCATTGATAGAAGACACAAAAAAAATGGAGATTTGAACACAAACAATAACAAATACTGTAACAAAAATAAAGAAGACAAATATCATATAAACTAAACAGAAGCAGACAAGCTTGGTACAAAAGAGAACCAACGAAACCCACAACTCCATTTCTCCGGCAACGAAGGACACTTAGGAACCCAATGCCATGTCCTCCTCCCAACATGAAAAAAGAGAATCTCAGGCCAATTGTAACAACACACACAGATCATCTCCTTATGCCACAAACAATACACATGCTCGTAGTTATGGTAACACACCGAAGTAAACTTCCTACAAACAATGTCCGGTAATGTTTCTACTTCGATCCAACTCTCTGTTTCTTCTTTAAATTCCCAAATCTTGATACTCCTACAAATCCCATTGCTTCCAATTCCTCCTACCATGTAAAGTATATTCTTTACTGGATCACTTACTAATCTAGCAAACGTGATCAAATTATCCGCCGGAAAAAAACCGTCTCCGGTGGCTGTTGTCCATTTTCCGTCGTTGAGATCAACGCTCACGATTAGAAAAGGCTCGGATCTAGCGAAATAGAGAGACCCATTGTAAAAGACTCCATCTTGATTAAACCCACGAGGTAAAACTTGATCAACGCCGCCGAATTTTCTCCAAGAGCGGTCACCGGAATCGTAGAGACAAACGGATCTTGAAGAAGCGGCGGAGGAAGATGAACAAAGAGTGAAGATTTTGTAACCTTCAGGGGAGGTAAGAAGAGAGAGTAGCTCAAAGTGAAAAGGGTAACACGGTAATTTGATAGATCTTGAGGATCTTGTTAAGGGATTGAAGATTGAGAGAGAAGAAACAGAGGAAGGAGAGATGGAGAAACAGAGGAGGCCGTTGGAAGAAGAGAGGAGAGAGGAGGCGTTTGTTAGTGAGAGGGAACGAGGGAGTGGTAACGTGCACCAGGAGATGAGATTAGGGTTAAAGAGAGGGAAGGAGTTGAAAGATTGAGGATGAGAGAGGAGGAGGAAAGAAGGAAGAGAGAAAGAATGGTCGGAGATGAAAGATGGAGAGAGGATTAGAGATCGGAGATGGCGTGAGATTGATCGGAGAGTGAGGAGAGTTTTGAATGGGAGGAGAGAGAGGATGTGTTCGAGGAGGTGATTTGGTAAGTTAGACCAGATGGTTGGATCCATGTTGGTCGGAGAAGATAGAGTGGTGGGGGAAGATTCGGGTGACCAGTAGAGGAAAGTGGAGGCGGTGGTGGTGGTGGTTGTGGTGATGGTAATGGGTTTTTTGCCGTGAGTTCTGAGGCGGAACATGGTGGTGAGATTTTGGAGTAAGAGAAGATTGAACCAAATTTTAGTTGCTTTACTTGAAGAAGACGAGAGAAGAGAAGAAGAAGAAGACTCTACGTTTGCGTCTAGACCGGTTCACATTTGGGATGTGGACAAAATAATACGTAAACCGGACCCTTATTTATATTATAAAAGGGTTTTCATTTTTATTTTCTTAAAATTCGCTTTTTCTTGGTCAAACACAGAATTAAATTTTCTTTTTTTAAAACAGTGACATTTCTTTTTGAAAGAAAAATCAAATCGAAATTAATTCGAAACCAGAATTAGTGTAAAATCAAATTAAACCGGATAAATCAAAACAAATTTTTATAAGTTTCAGTTTTAATAAATACTTTAATAATTTGGTTAAAATGATTTAGTTATATATTTACAATGACAAAGAATATAATATAATTGAACCAAAATCCTAGCTTGGTTATGCATTTCTTAAAAGCTTACTGAATGGTACAACCACCAAAAACTTTGGATAATATGTGTTTTATATGTATTAAAACAAATAAACTACTTATTCATAAAAAAAATTATATCAAAAATCAAATCAGACAAAAGTAAGCATAGGCATTCGGATTTTGGATCGGTTTTCGGTTTGGATCAGATTCGGTTCGGATAATTCGGATAGGGGAATTTATTATCCGTTCGGATTTTGTGACTATTCGATTCGGTTTTAAAAATAGATTTTTCGGATCGGTTTAAAATCGGTTTTCGGATGACTTTATGCCCAGGCCTGGACAAAAACTTTCAGTTATGTATTATTTGAAACCGAATAAACAAAACTGGAAACTTAAATGACGACGGTGCTCAAATTCACGTATTGGGCAGTACAACTACCAAACCAAGTAGTAGTTGACTTATTCCCAAGTATCATAAAATCAAGTGGGCGAATATTATACAATTACACATATATGCACATTTGATTTATAATCAAAGTCAGATCAACGTCGTCGGACGACCAACACCTAATTAATTATTGAGAAAAATGAATAGTTGATTACGAAGATGAGATTAATCTTAGTACCACTTTTTGACTTTAGGATTTAATATGGTTCTATCTTTTACAAAAGTTATATTTCGATTGGTAATGATGTAACAGTCATAATAAATGAGTAGGACCCGTGGGATAAGATCTTACCCGCTCGTCTACTCTCATGTTGGCACCGACGCTACGCATGTTTATTATAACCCTGGTTCAAAAAATTTCCGCAGAATTGCGATTACTTCCCGCTTTAATCTCTAGGTCCTTCTATCCACCTCGATTAATGAGTCTTTAAAAAAATTAGTTATCCGATTACTCTCCGTCTAATTTTACATATCCCGATTATTTTTAGATTGCAAGTATAAAACAATTTTTTTTGTTATTCAAACATTTGAATTGGGAGTTTATGATGTTTTAAATAACTTTATGTTCAAATTTTAATAAAAATCAGAAAATCTTTAATAGAAAAAATTGTCTTAAAAATACATTTTTATGTGTTTAGTGCAATTTTGAAAACAATAATGGACTATTATGTCTTTAAAATTTTAAATTAACCCAAAAACTAATCTCCGATTAATCTCTGATTTTAATTGATTTTCTGATTAATCGCTAGAGTCCCTACCGAACGTCCGACTAGCGTCTAGCGATTTTGCGAACAAGGATTATAACTCACTCAAATCCAAAACAATTTTTTTTTTCTTTTTGTGTTTTTGATAATTTTGGATTATTTCAAATCAACATCGAATTGGCGGTACATGATTAGGACATAATCAAATCAACTTGAATCGTCTGACTAGTTTTAAAGATTTTCGGCCGAAATCAAATCATATCGATATAACACAGTCTGTCTCTACCCTTGTTTTCCAACATAAATATAAGTTCCTAATGGAAATTGAGGGAAAACAAGTTTAAGTTTTGTTCCATGCCCAACTACCACTAGACTATAAACATGTTCGGCTATTTTTATTTTTAGGTCATGTGAGATCATGGTTATTTAAAGCTTTCGTTTTCTTCATTGTTCAATAGCTTTTGAAATATATAAAACACAGATTCCTCTAAACTTTCTGCAATATTCGTATGCGTATATACCGGATACCGTTGAAAAAGAAGCAGGGTCTCAAATGTGCCACTATCGACCTAGCTATATACAACATGAACCACATGCAAGTACGATAGTCTTTCTTATAAGAGACCACATGAGTTTACACGTGGGTTATATACTTATAATAATACTTTAAGTAATTACTTCTTTGAAATACGTGTGTAAAACGGTCCATTACATATTGTCTCTATGCAAGGTGCATTAGCTCCTTCCGTTTGGTTGATTCTTGAACTCACAACTGATGCAGTCTCTCTTTTGTGTATCGTAGGTGTCCACGTACTACAATATGATTCATATTGACATATGTACAAAATTATTCTATCATTATTTTTTTGTCAATTAGGTAGGGATGGACGTACGGTTTTTCGGTTTGGTTACGGTTCGGTTTTTACGGTTTTACGGTTGTTTGGCTTTAAGAAAATTGAAACCATATAAAAATCATATGTATCTCGGTTCGTTTTGGTTTCGGTTTGGTTCCGGTTTTGAAGGTTATTCTATGTTTTTACAAAAAATAAATATAAGTTTAATACATAAATAAAAGTAAATATAGAATAGAAAATAATATATCAATAATTATAAATTACTATTAAAAGTAAATATTTTTGGGTTAGTTTGGATCAAAAATTCAAGGATTTTAGTTTTTTTTTTCTTTTTGACTTTAAATCTCTATTTTGCCAGTTAAAATCGAACAAAATTTCTGTTTGGTTTTCACCATGAACAAAAAATTTGATTTTAAGAATTTTTTGTATATTTTAGTAATAAACTCTATAAATTTTAATTATATTTCAGAATTTTGATTTCGTAGAGAAAATGTTGGTATTGTAAAAAAGAGAACCTATTTTATTGAAACTAATCGGTTTGGAGGTTCCGAACCCAACCAAACCGGTAATCCAATCAAATTTAAATTTTCAAAGATAAACCGAAGTCAAACCAAATATACTTAACTTGGTTCGGTTCAATTTGGTTTTGCAAGTCAAATTAGGGGGTGTTATTGGTTTGTGATTTAAATAGAGTTTTAATGACTTTAATTGTTGTGTAGATCTGTTTCTATCAATCAAGTTTTGTAACTCTC